CGCGTCCCTCCCTCCCCTATCGCCAACCCCCAAACAAGAGCCAGAACCCCTGAAATCGCCACGAAGCCCAACCCAAACGCCCTGAACCACCATCCCCAGGCTCTTAAACGGCCAAGACAACCCAGCCAGACAACCCCGCTGGAAAACCTCGGACCCCTATACGAACCCTAACCACCTAATCGCTCCCTGGGCCAAACCACCAAACAAACCTGCCCAAGAACAACAATCGGGGCTCCCAATCACCACAAGCAGCATCTACAAACTCGGATTAAGGCCGGGAACCACCGTCGGTCCCACAACCACCAACGGCCAACGAAAGGGGGAAAAGAAAGAAAACACCATGGCTATAAATTGAGGAGAAAAGACAGCGAAGAAGAAGATGGGCGGTCAGCAACGGCCGCAGGACCGGCCTCGCCGCCGCCGGAAGAGGTCAAATCGGAAGGAGATCAAGGAGCTCGCATGAGGGTTTTTTTTCCTTTTTTAACACTACAATTTGCTATAGTGAAAGTATAGCACAAGTGAAATCTAATGATAAGATGAATGCATGTGACCACACACTTGAAGATAGTGCTTAAAGCATGTTTAGATATGAAAATTTTTAGTTTTGTTGAATTTTTTGATTTTTTTTGGTTAATTTTGAAAGGTAGTATGATTAGTTGTTAGTGGATATATTAAAATAATATTTAAAATAAAATAATTAAAATTGATTTGATGTAGAAGTATGAGAGAGATGATTTGAAGTGATGGTTAGTTAATATAATGTCAGTGGATGAATAGTGAATTAAAGTTGATGTTGTGTGTATGAATAATTGATTGATATTATTTGAAGTGACAACACATGTTGACCAAGAATGTATTTTGAAAATAAATAAATAATGTAAAAATTAAGGAAGTAATAGAAAAAATAATTTTTGTCTTCCAAATAATTAAAAATGAAAAAAATATAAAATTATTACACATTTGAAAATAGCAAAAAAATGTAGTCATGAAAATTTTAATAATTGAAATTCATATTTTAAAATAGTAGTAAAATTAAAATAATTGCAACTCGTTCTTATTTCAAATATATAGTATTATGCATTTAATACTTCGTTTTTAATATTTTTTTTCAACAACAATTGCAACACGTTCTTATTTAAAATAATTGCTTTCGTTTTTTTTTCGGGCTGTCAAGTAATTTCTTTTTTAAATTGAACAACCTCGTTTTACTTTTTTATTTAACGAGCAATGTTTGTTGAATTTCGTTCTTCTTAAAAAATACCTCGTTTTCATATTTTAATTAACGTATAAACTCCATTCATTAATTTAGATTACGAATTATTATATTTCATAGTTTTTTATTAATTACTCATTTTAAAATTAACCAAACATGATTTAATATATAATTTAAACTAAAAATGTAAAAGAATAAAAAATAACATGGGCAACATAATTTAAAAGATTTAAAATGATAAAAAAATTGAAATGTGCCCACAAAAATTGCAAAAAGACACGTCCCAATTGTTATGTAAAAGAATAAAAAAAATTAAAATAGGCCCACAAAAATTGCACAACTCGCGTCTCAATTGCAACACAGTTCTAAAACAATTCCTTACTTTAGTCATAACGCTGGCAGGATAAGGTTTATAAACCTTATCAAAAGTTGTGCTCTAGAGCAACTTAACAGCCACTCTCTACAAACCTCATTTTATGTTTTCCAACATGCCACGTCATCCAAAACCTCTACACATATAAACTTTCAATAGCAATAAACTTCATAAACTCTATTTTTATGGGTCCCACATATTTCCCACTTACATTTAGTTAATATACTCTTTTATTTTAAAACTATAACTCTATTTTATTATTCAATCTAAATGTTTCAAAAATTTATCATAAATACATATAAAAAAAAATATAATTATAGAGTGTTAAGTACGTACCAATATCAAGTTTTACCTAGAAATTACGATACACAGAACTTACATAATGTTAAAAATTAAAATTTGAGTACTTTTTTTTTCTAAATATTATATTATCATATTTTGTTGAATAAAAATTAATCATCTTAGAAGATTAAGTGTTTTTTAGTTTTTAATAGTACAAAATTTATAACTTTAATATTCAGTCATTAACTTATGAAACAAGTTAACAAACTGATAAATCTATACTTATATTAAAAGCTATACTATTTACTAAATATAGTATGTAGAATAGTCAACTCTAATTAATGATTTGCTATTTTTATCAAGCATTTAAT